TGGCCCCTACAAAGCTCAAGGAGCTTAATGTATAGCTTTAGGGTCTCCTGCGAAAGGGATTCATTCGACAAAGTGTTTCTCCTTGAGTTTCCCCAATTTTTTTGTGAAGAAGAAAGATGGGTCTATGTGTATGTGTTGAACAAGGTGACAATGAATAATATTTACCCTATTCCTCATATCAATGATTTGTTTGACCGACTTTAGGGTGTCATGGCATTCTCTAAGATTGATTAGAGATCTAGTTACTATCTATTGAGGATTAGGGTGGAGTACATCCCTAAGACAACTTTTAGGACTCTTTAAGGTCATTGTGCGCTCCTAGTGATGTATTTTGGGTTGACCATTGCCCGTGCAACATTCATAGACATTATGATGCATTTGTTAGACTGTATCTAAACTTTATCATTGTGTTCATTAATTAGATTCTAGTATACTCGGGGAGCAGGGAGGAGCACAAACAACATCTGAGGATTGTATTCCATACTTTAAGAGTTCATCGACTTTATGCCAAGTTCTCAAAGTGCTAGTTTTGGCTTGAGTCTGTTGCATTCTTTGAGAACTTTATGTCCAAGTAAGGCATTATGGTTAATCTGACAATGATTGAGTCTATTCGTGAGTGGGCTAGGCCCTTTTCAGTCACTAGGATTCAGAGTTTCGTCGAGTTACTTTGTTACCACAAGACTAGTGGTGAGTTTTAGAGATTTCTCATTCCGAAATAGAAATGGGAACATATCACTATTGTCTTTGTTATAAGACTACCTCATACTTCTGGAGGTGTTGATAGATTTTAGGTCATCAAGGATCTATTGACCAAGTCAGGACACTTCCTTCCCGGTGAGTCTTCCTATAGTTTCGATAAATTGGCTTGTCTCTATAATTAGAAGGTAGTTCGTCTTGATGAGGTTCTTGTCCCTATCATATCAGATAGGGGTTCTTAGTGAAGTTTTATCTTTTGGAGGACTTTTAGAAGGAGTTGGGTACGTGAGTTGACCTTTGTACAAATTTTCATCCACAAACCGGCAGGCAGTTGGACCAAACTATTCATGTTTTGGATGATATGTTGAGAGCATGTGATTGGAATTGGGAAGCCAGTTTTACCAGTTCTTAGGCTTAGTAGATGTGTATAACAACAACTACCACTCAAGTATTCAGATGGCCCCATTCGAGGCCTTATATGGTAGGCATAGTCACTTTCCAATTGGTTGGTTTGAGACTATGGAGCGTAGGCCAGCTGGTACTGATTTGCTTTAGAAGGATTTGGATAGTGTTCTGGTTATTCAGGAAAGTCTTAGCTAAGTATAGAGCAGGCATAAGAGTTATGCTGAACGTAGGAGCCGACCTTTGAGATTTAGAGTTGGTGACTGGGTATTCCTTCAAGTTTCACCCATGAAGGGTGTGATGTGATTTTGGAGGTGGGTCAAGCTTATCCCCAGGTATATAGTTCCATTTGAGATGCTCTGGACTATTGGTGATGTTGCTTATCAATTGGCCTTACCTTTTGTATTTTCAGCTATTCATTCGGTTTTTCATGTTTTTATGCTTCACAGGTATGTTCCTAACAAGTTCCATTTACTTCGGTATAACTCAATTCAGTTTGATAATCGTTTGGCCTTTGTGGAGGAGCAAGTTTTTATTTTTCTAAGAAATGTAAGGTGGTTGCGTTCAAGAGTCATTCCTCTTGTTAAAGTCTAGTAAAGACATCATCCAATCAAGGAAGCTACCTGGGAGGCCGAGCATGATATGTGAGTTCCTTTTCCGCAAGTTTGAGGCTTCAAGTACTTCTTGACTCTTTATTTTTATTACTCCCCGGAAACAAGTAAGTTGAACTAGAGAGTTCTAGAGCTTTTCGTAAGAGTTTTTCAGTTAGAATTGAGGGTTAAAAATCGTAAAAAGGATTCCCATACTTGGAATGAGGGTTTTAGGGTTAGGGCGTCGCGGTACGACCCCCCAAGGACCACCCAAGGGGTCCTTGAGGAGGATCCTTAAAACAGCCCAAAAGTTATCAATTTGCAGCCACCCATGTTTTCCAACTACTGGCCGTGGATGGACCCACCGCCCGTGGGTTGGGGTCGTGGGTCAAGGCCTGTGTTGGTCTACAATGTTGAGACTCTGACCAGCACCTACGGAGGTACATCACACTCCGTGAACCCACCCACAGTCCGTGGGTGGTGGTTTCGTGAGTGGGGAATGTGTTAAGTTAAGTGTTTTAAGTTAGGGGTTTGGGAATTAATTAGTAATTAGTTAGGGGTTAAGGGAGGTCGGTTAGTTATTTATTTAACCACCTATACAAGCCTAATAGACCCCTAAACTAAATCAATTAACTCATTCTTCAAAGAACCCCAAATTCTCTCCAAATAATTTTCGAGAGAGAGGTGAAGAAGAAGAAGAAGAGGAGAATAGAGTAGGGCATATTTTCCTCCATTGATGCAAGCTTGGTTAGGGATTTGAATCAATGTATGTTATCTTACTAATATATTGGTTCTTCCACCCATAGAGCCCCCTAGGTTTTCCCCCAATTGTGAAGTTAACAACCCAATTCTAGCTAGGGTTTCCTTCTACATTGTGGGTAGGGTTTAGGTATGATTCCAATCTAGTAGATAATACCTAATTATGACTGTATTAACATTGAATTATGATATTATGATGAATTCATGTGATTTCTATGGTTAACCCTAGTCTATTTGATGAATGTGATATCTTGTGGGTTTATGCCATTAGAGGTGAAATTGAAGGTTCATAGGGGATCTTCTTAAATCAATGTCATGTGCAGTAATTGTTCATGGTTAGGAAAACATAATCATAAATTGAACTAGACCTTATTGAATATGATTGATCTTAACTTGTAAAGTTGTAATTGAACCTTTAGGATGAATTGTGGCTAGAATCACCTAGTAATGAAAAATATGATTGAATGCCTTGTAAGCTGGGTTCATAGTATGTTTCCATGATGTAGTGTTATTAAGAGTGAAGACTCATAGTTGTTGTGAATGTTGATCATTATGGCTTTAGAGTGAAGCTAATATGATTACTATAGATGCTAAGGCTTTGAGAGTAAAATCTATATGTGAAAACAAGGCCAATGAATAGAATTGTGATGAAAGATCTTTACCTACTTAATTCACCTTATGAATCATAGATGGTAAGAAGTGATAGAATCACTTAAGTCATGATGATATCCTTGTCTAATGTAGAATTCTAGACATGATATTAAGCATGGAGATGAACTTAACATGAAAGAGTTCTCACAGAGTAATGGTTCTAGGGTTGTAGGGCTTCTCTTACCTAATTGAACCTAAGGCTATAGAGCCTTTATACCTAGGTCATGGATGGTGATAGTTGATCACACATGGTCTAAAAGAGGTATTAGCATGGATTGGTTGTCAAGGACATCTTTCCATAAACTTGAGTCTAGGTAGAGACTTAATGATTATCTTGTGGGATTACAACCTAGCACAGAGTGGATATTGAAATGAGATGGAAGTTCCCACCTAGTTGAGTTTGGGCTTCCAACATGGGATATCTCACCTAGAATAATCCGGATTTCCCAAAGTGTGTCTCATGAGATGGAAGCCTTCACCTAGTGGAGTTTGGGTTTATAATAGCAATCTTCGTATCCCATAACTACGTTCCCCGTAGGAAAGTTAACTAGTGGATCCGACTAAGAGCTAACAACCTGGTTCTACTTTAGGCAAGTGGACCAACCCTTGACGGTGTGGGTAACACCGTGAGAGATCATGTGATAGCTAATATGTTCTCACGTCGGTTAAGGCTATATCCCAATTAAAAAATATAAGTAATGAACTAAGATTGTGCTCAATGTAGCATCTCCAAGAGTTCAAACCTCATGGGCCACTACACCATTTTAGGCCTACGGCCACCCCAGTAAAGTGTAGCCTAAACTAGCAAAAAGTGTGGCTTTTGATAAAAGGCTACACTTTTGGACTTTAAGCAACACTTTTCCAGGGGTGCCCGAAAATAGCGTTACCTTAGAGTTTAGGCAACACTTTTCAAGTGTTGCCTTATCAAGCGTAGCCTAAAAGATAAAATGGCAATGCTTTTATGTACCTCAAATAGCAACATTTCTATCTCATACAACTACACTTTTTAAGCGTGGCCTTAGCTTCCTTATTGCCCACGATTTGTAAGTGTTGCCTTTTCTATCTAATGTATGACAACACTTTGAAGTGTAGTCCTTGCCCATGTGCATACCACAATTTACAGTCCTATGGCTACACTTTTAACTATGGCCATATCATTTTGGCTATAAAATATTTATATGCCAACAATTTCTAATTAAAAAACACCAATATTATTTTGCAATAAATAATCTCAAGCATTAAAATTAGCTAATAAGTAATTCAAATATATAGATTTGCAATAAACATCAAAAGATAGTATGTCTTGTGTACATACACATACTTATAAAGAAATATTCTAAATATGTGTACACAATAGTTCAAAAAGTACTCTTACAATGGTTCAATTTATTCTAGCAATGAATATATTTCACAAAATCAAATATAATGTATTCAAACTTTTACAATAGTTCAAAAACTCTTCATCATCCACTTCAATGAGATCAAATTGACCCGTGGCGACCCTTCAAATTTGATCACCTCCATATCCCTACACATTTAAAATGAAATTAAAAATCAAAACAAACCATGTACAACAAATCAGATTGCAGCAGTTCCAGATTGCAGATTGCAGACTGCATATTTTTTTAGTTCAGGCAGCACAATGTATTCTAGCAGATTGCAAATTTTTTGAGTTCAGATTGCAAATTCAGGTATTCTAGCAGATTGCAGATCCAGTATATGCTTGGAACACAAAAACATGAATATACCTAAGCATATAAATTGAGCTGATAAAGATAAACAAAATGAGGAGAGGTAAACTAAAACATTTTGTGCCTGTTTAGATTGCAGATTCAGGTATTCTAGCAGATTTTTTGAGTTAAGATTTAATGGGCTTATACAGCTTAAATAGAACAAGAGAGGTAAACTAAAACAGTTTGTGCTCTTAGACACACAACATACCTTCAGTTTATGACGAACGTTGTTCAAGATCTTTTTCCTCTCCTCTATGATGAAGGAACATATGATTTAGAGGATTTAAGAACTAGAAATCAAAAACTATGATACCTTTCAATGTCTACTAGTATGACGATTAGTCCATATTAACTATAGCCAAATGAGAGGAAACTATTTTTGAACTAAAGCCTATTCTGTTTTGCATAACAATGTGATGGAATGTGTCGCTATAAAAAACTTAAGTTCATATTGTTTTTTACCTCACTACCATAACAATTAACAATAAAAGAAAAAGTAGCAGGTACATACGATCAACTGTAACTTTATGACTACTTACCGGCCATCTACTGACAGAGCTCAATTCTATGACACCTTTTTCTGCCTCATAAAAGAATTTCCTTGCCCTCTGAATTTGCTTCTTCATAAATATCCTCCACTCATCAGTCACTCTTCCAGCAAAAATGTCTTCATCGGAGAGCCCTGCCTGTGCTAATTCATCTTGAGGTACTAGATGATTCATTGCCCGTGCGCAACAATTTAGCTTTATAAGTTTCATAAGAGCAAGCTATTGCACTGAACCTAGATGAGTGTAGGACAACTGAAATTCATATACACGAATAAGTAGCAAAAAGTAGTCGTTACTTCAATGACACCAAAGAGACCATCTTTTTTCTCTCTGCATTTTACACGCACTGAATTTTCAGGCCTTCAAATGACATCAACAAATTTTTTTTAGGAAAAGCAAAACTACATGTACATACATCCTAGATTACTTTCAGCGGATGCAATTTTTAACATTTGTGATCTTCTCCTGATTGTTTCTCTGGCCACAAGTATTGTTTCTTAGTGTTATATTCTTTCCTCTGAAGCATATGTATTCACATAGTCGTCTCGTCTAAATTCATTACTTGTTATGTTTTGGCAAAAAAATACTTATTGAAGATTGTGTAGCTTCTAAAAATAGTTGGTAGCTATTTTAGAGGCTTTCCTGAAAAGAGCAAACGAATTTCTTAGAAGGTGTTGCATCATAAACGAATAATAACATGAGTGTAATTATACTTGTGCTTATTTCTCACTCATAGTTCGGAAAGCAGGAAACTTATATGATTGAGAGTACCTGCATTTGTCATTTACATGCCAATCAACAGAACTATTGCTTCACATATTAGTTTTATGTTCCAGAAAAGGATGATATGTATAAATTTCTCTGTATAAATGCGTAAGGCATCATTGACATTGCACTGCCAGGTAAAACCACTTGCAGGTACATAAACAAATGTCCAAAAGATGCTACATCTAAATATGGCATATTTCAACAATACAATATATTCAAAGATTATATGAATGACCCAGAAATTATGTGGAAGACGTTATTAAAACTACTACCTACTTGCAGATTTAGTGACTTGATTATTTAGAACCTTTAAGGTGGAATTAGTGAAAGCTTCAGTATCCATCATGCCATGAAAGGAACTATAATTTATTTATTGTGATGAAGCAGGTGTGGACAAGTTTAAGCCTAGAACAAACTAATTAAAAGGTTAAAAATATTATCCTAAATTTACTCTCCAAGTGTGGACAGGTTGCCATCACTGGACATGCCGGTTAATTCTTTCTTTTAAGTTCGAAGAGCCGACTAACTTCATCTAAAGTTTCCAGGAAAATAGAATAAGAGTTCACCAACTAATGGTAAGCTAAGTTACACATGAATTTAAGATATACATGGACCCAATTCAATAACAATTTGAGGAAGAAATTAGGCCTTCACAAGTTACGGAAAGTTGAAAAAGAGCAACAACCAAGCAGGCATAGGAAAGCATTTATATATATCATATAGAAGTTCTATTGCATAAAGATTTACCTCATCATTAGTTCGTCCAAGTGCTATAAGTGGCGCCACACCTCCTCATTTGATGGTGATACTATTGCAGGATTCAATAATCATGAATTGGATTAATCACAAAACATTCTGATGGGATTGATCGTCATTCATCTTTCTTACAAAGTAATCGATGTATGTGCAAGGTGTATAAGCTAGCATTCTCCACTTCAATGTGGTTAGTACCAAAAGTTCCATTCTTTGTATAGTTTTGCCTTCAAACACAAAATTTGGATTCCCAACCTGTTTCATAAACTCGAGATTTTACTATAGAATCTAGTTTAGAAAATATATAAATTGTTAACAGGACAAACATGTAAAGAACTTTATCTTGCTCAGACTCTCTAAAACTTGTCGCACCCGTGTTGGATCCTAAAATAATATACTACATTTGGAGGATCCAACACACACCTGACGGCATTTTTGAAGGGTCCAAGCAACATAGGTAAGGAATGAACGAAACTATTCATCACCTACAAATCAACAATCAAAGGAACATGAATCTTTCCATTTTGGCTTCAATTGATAGGCAGGCTACAACTAACAATTGAACTGCTCATGTTTTACCTCTCTATACATATCCAAGAAATGTAAATCAACAGAATGCAGACAATCAGTTAGCTATCAAACTTCAAACACTCTGAAATGAAATGCTATGATGAACTATGTTACTCGGACCCTTTAAAAATACTGCAGGCAGCACCAGTGTTGAATCCTCTTAAGTGCATAGCTTTTGGAAGATCCGACACACATTGAACAGAACAATATTCTAAGTCTGAGCAACATAGATTGTGAACTTACAGGCAATTCATAACAGAAACCAATCCAAGTAATTAATGGACAAACAAAAACTCAGCTTCCCATATACGAAGTGCATACCAACTTGCGCAGTTGCAATGTGGCTAAGAAACTAACTTAAGGAATAAATGAATTTCATATTCAGTTAGCATGTTGCAAAGTTCAGGGTCTAGCGGTTCAAGTTATACTCATCCCCGTCCAGTTTCTGCTGGCATATATGCAGTTGATATTGCTTAAGAAGTTTCAAAAAAATAACACCAACCAGTTGAAAATCTTTGAGTGCGTAATTGACTTCTAAATTGTCAAATATGCAGCCCCTCGCCTATAATAACCCTGCAACCCTGATCAAAACCTACTGCAGTAGCATAAATACCTAACACAACGAAGAAAGCACAACTCATTGTAACAATTCAAAATTAACTTACGAATAATTAAAATCAAAGAAGAAGATGGGTGAGGAAAAAAGATTGCCTTAAAATTGCAGCAATACTTGAAGTAATTGAAGATGTAAAGCTTGAGGAGATGAAACATTGAGGAAATTCGTCTTTTGTGTTGATGTGAAATGATATGAAGATGAAACGTGAAAGTGATGAAGATCGGTGGAAGCCAGCCACACACAATCACTAGACAACCACGTGGAGTAATATGAAGGTAGAGCAACAACTTGCAATTACTATATCTGAAACAAAAATAATGGCAAAGTTGCCTGCGACTTTTTCGAAACAAAATGGAGCAATAGGCATTGCACTGTACTTTATATATGAGAAATAGACTACGCTTTCGATATATTTTGGCATGTTACTAGAGAAATGATCAATGTGAATTAAATATAGCTTCATACTTACTCTTCTCCTACATCTCTGAGTATATTGGTTAGTTGAGTTGCGATCCCTAAAGCCAAAGCTGCATTATATACACTCTCTGTTGTTGCCTTTGATTCAGGTGCAATGCCCATAACTGGAACACTCATCAATCCTACTGTACCAGCGACATAGTAACAATATAGATATAGCTCATCGAAGTTGTTGTATCTGAATTTCCACAAGTCCATACGCATTCCTTCAACCATATCTCTGAATGGCTGCACCAGTTAGATGAATTATCAGACACTTCACATGGTTGCAAGTAAGAGATCGAGGTTATTAAACACAAAATAAATGTCAGCCACCAGTGATAGCAAATGAAAACTAGTTGCCTAATTTGCTAATCAAATAAAAAATATAAGTAGATAATGATATTAGAAAGAGATATAAATACAAAGAAGAGAAGTATCGAATTCCACAAGTACTTGCATCGGAAAAGCACTCAGCCAAAAAGAATAGAATCTGAATCTGGAGAAGATAATGATGATAGAATTAGATAGACTAACCTGAATATCAACAGGAAATCTGGAAACAGTATCGGATAAGGCTGCATCAAGCAAATCAAATAGCCTCCCGTTAAAAATATCTTCCAGACTTTCCTCACACCTATCTAAAGCTTCTGGAATTATGTGTGACGCATTAGGGCCATCAACAAGCTCATTAATTCTCCTGCACCACACTATTTAAAAAGAACACAGCTTTTCAGACAACAAGTCATTTAAAAATACTCTAAGACAACAATCGTTGTTAATTTCCCCAAGATTCTTAGCTTGCTTGAACTACAAATTAATTTAACGAGCAAGCCAAAAACACCACATGTTTTTTCAATCTTAAGTGGAAATTTCTCATTGGCAAGATCTAGTCCTTCTTGGAAACGTGAATACATGAAAGCACCAAAAGTACCAGATATACCATAATTGACTATGCACAAACCTAGACCACACTTTTATGACTGCCAAACAAAATGGTAAAGAGTATCAGCGTACCAGTTTTACACCTAGAGACCAGAATGTTGTAAGTGGGAAGTGCCCATAATGTTAAATTATCTGAATGCTACTTTCATTAACCTTTTGGACTGTATAACAGCATAATGTTTTGGTACATAAAGAGCATAACTACCGGCCAGCGAAAAGTTGAAATTATGTCAAAGATTCCCAAGAAAGCTGATAAAACAAACAGTTAGCATGTTA